CCCCCCCTCTTTTTTGATAAGGTAAAGTTTTATTGATAAAAGTACCAAGGTGGTACAAAAAAATACATAAAAGGACCAGACAACATCTACAGAAAACTTCCAATTACATCTTTCCTAGCAAATTCAAAAATTCCATATACCGATCCATGTTTTCTAACAGACACCTCTTACACCAAAAAAACAAGTTATGTAGACAAGAGTTTTTGATTCTAGAAATATGATTTCTTCTATTTTCAAAACGAACATTGTTCCTCTCACTCTAAATGGTCCAAAATATGCATAATGGGATAGTTCTCCAAATCTGCCCCATCTCCTTTCTTATCTTCTGTCCTTGCAAGTTAGCGAGTAGATTTCTTGTGCTTGAGGGCATAACCCAAGTAACTCCACAGAGGTTCAGGAATAGCTCCCAGCATTGCTTTTCAATTTTACAATGAATGAACAGATGGTTGACTGATTCCAGATCTTCTTCACACGGATAGCACCTATTGCTTAAATTGAAACCTCTTTTCTGCAGATTGTCTTGAGTTAAGCAGGCCTCTCTGATAACTAACCATCCAAAGCAGACTACTTTAACAGGTGCGTTTGTGCTCCATAGCATTTTTCATGGCCAAATACATAATGGTCTGCTTGTTTCTGAAGAAGTTTATAGCCACTTTTGACATAATACTTCATATTTGCGCTTGCTGTCCAAACCATGTTGTCATCCTTATTTTCCTCTATCACAACTGTATCCATTAACTGAAAAAATTGACAAACTTCTTCCATATCCCAATCATTAAAACCTCTTCTGGAATTCAGCTGCCAGCCATTGGAAGAATAATACTCAGCCACACTACCTTCTTTATTAAGAGAGCAGTTGTATAAGGACCGAAACCTATCTTTAAATCTCACATCCCCCACCCATACTTCAGTCCAGAATCTGATTTTTGCTCCATTCCCCAACTTCAATTTAGTATGTTGCTGAAATTTACTCCACAGTTTACTACGTTGCTCCAGATGCTCCATTTTGAGGAAGTAATGATAACTGGAGGGCTCCATACTTCCTTCTCTCATACTTGGCATTTATAATATTCTTCCATATGCTCTATTTTCCATCATTATATCTCCATAACCATTTACAAAGCAAGCTTTTATTATGGAATCTCAAGTTTCTGACTCCCAGTCCACCTCATTTCTTAGCAGTCATCACCTTTTGCCATTTGACCAGATGTAGCTTCCTTTTTTCTGCACTACCTTCCCACAGAAATTTGCTCCTTATAGTATTCAGTTTCTTCTCCACACTCACAGGTATATGGAATAAAGACATCAAACAAGTTGGAATCCCATCCAATACACTACTAACCAAGGTGAGTCTGCCTCCAAGGGATAAGTATTGCTTTTTCCATGGAGTCAACTTTTTGCAACAACTATCAACTACCCCTGACAGATCCTTTGATCGTTTTTCCTAGCACCCAAAGGAAGCCCCAAATAAGTTATTGGTAACTGCTCCACCCCACAGCCCATTAACTCTACAAGATCACTTATACAATATTCTGCATTAATGTTAAACATGCTACTCTTTGCCAAATTCACCTTTAAACATGTTACTGCTTCAAAGACTAGTAGGACCCCTCTGAGATAAAGGACTTGTTCTTCTTTAGCTTCACAAGTCAGTAAGGTATCGTCTGCGTATAAAAATATGCGAAATGACACAACTTGCCTCACCCCTTCTTTCAATGCTCAAGCCTTTAATCCACCCCCATTGTTCAACTTTCTTTAGCATCTTACTGAAAATCTCCATAACCAAAACAAATAAATATGGGGGCAAAGGGTCCCCCTGCTTTAGCCGCCTAGCAGAATTAAAGAAAACTTGAGGGCTTCCATTAATAAGTACTGAAAATCTTACGGTAGAGATGCAATATTCAATCCATTTTATCCATTTCTCACCAAAATTCATCTATTTTATGATATCTGATAGACATGCCCAATTGATATGATCGTATGCCTTTTCTAGGTCTAATTTACAAAGTATTCCTTGCATTTTATTTCTTATCAAATACTCCACACACTCATTTGCAACCATAGAAGCATAAATTATTTGCTTCCCCTTTATAAAAGCATTCTGATTGTCAGAGATCAAATTTTCAATCACCACCTTGATCCTTTCTACCGGCAATTTAGCAATTATCTTATATACACTTCCTAGGAGGCTAATTGGCCTGTAGTATTTTATTTTCACAACATCTTATTTTTTAGTATCAAGGCAACAAATGTAGCATTAAAGCTCTTGGTAAAATTACCTTCTTGAAAAAAAATTGACAGTGTTCCACACATCATTTTTTACTGTACTCGAAGACTTCTGAAAGAAGTGGAGATTAAAACCATCTGGACCTGGAGCTTTGTCTCCTTTAAAAATCTTTATAACCCTTTCCACTTCTTCCATTGTAACAGGTCTTTGTATCCATTCTTTCTCCTCCTCAGTCAGCTTGCTTAGATCGTCTCCTAACCATTTTGGCCTTTCAGGTTCTCTAAACAGACTTTTGTAAAATCCCAGAATATGTTTCTTTATCAATTTATCATCTTCAATTAATTCACCCTCTATAACAATCTTGTCAATGCAATTGTACCTTTTATGCGCATTTGTCTGTTTATGAAAAAAATCGGTATTTCTATCTCCATGCTCAATCCATAAACATCTGAACTTTTGTCTCCAGAATATTTCTTCTGCTTTGGCAATATTTTCTAACTCACTTTGGATAGTACATCTTTCGGCCTCAACTTGATCAGAACTTTGGTTCAAATTTTCTCTTTGATCCAAGACTCTTATTTTTTCCAAAGCCTTAATTTTCCTTTCTGTTAGATTGCCAAAGACCTCTCTATTCCACTTTTTCAAGTCTTCCTTCAAGAGTTTCAGCTTTTTAGCCATGACTTCATCAGCTCAGCCAAGTGCATTGTATGAGTTTCACCAATTATCAACCAAATCACCGAAATCTTTATGTTCAAACCACATATCCTCGAATTTAAAGTAACCCTTCCCCTTACTCCAATTCCCACATTCTAGCAAAATTGGACAATGGTCTGAAGTAACTCTTGGTAACACTGTTTGTTTTAGGAGTTTAAATTGCTCATCCCAGCTTTCATTAACCAGGAATCTATCTATTCTAGAAGCACATGTACTATTTACCCTCCTAAACCAAGTGTATGAGCCACCATGAAGTGGAGGATCATCTAAAGATAATTCATCAATGAATTTGGAGAATTCCTTCATAGCTCTAGTGTTTCTTGCATTCCCTTTCTTTTCTGCTTCGAACCTGACCACATTAAAATCTCCACTAATAACCCATGACTGTGAAATCAAGCCATAAATTGCAACCATCTCTTTCTACAAACACCTTCTTTTGTTCTGATCATAAGGTGCATATACCCATGTGAATGAGCATTGAAAGTCGGTATTTTCCTCCTCCATAAAAGTAGTAACAGAATGTTGTCCTACATATTTCTCCTTGAATTTACATCTCCTTTTGTCCCAATACACCACAATTCCTCCACTATTTCTTTGAGCCCCCAATTCAACCCATTCACTCAATCTAGACCCCCCAACTTGTTTAATATCCTCTTGAGTTAGACCATTTATCTTTGTTTCAGAGAGACAAGCAATGTCTGCATTCCAGTTTCTTAAAAGCAAATCTACCAAACTTCTTTTTTTTTGTCACTCATTCCCCTAATATTCCAACATATAATCCTCAACTTCATTAAAACTTAGCCAGCGCCCTCCTACCCTTGCCTCTACCAACATTTTCCCTACCTGAGCTGGATTCCCCTTTGAACTTCACCCCAAATTCCAGCAACTTTTTTTCTCTCTCGTATTTTTTTCCAGGAGAAATAATTTGATTTTCAGGGGAAGAAGTTAGTTTCTTTGGCCTTCCATTTTCAATTCACAACAATAAGTCTAGCAATTTATCTTCCGTCTCATATGAATTCACTTGCTTGCTAATTTTGCCATATTTCTTTTGACCCATCTTGATGCTTCAATCTGATGTAATCTCTCCTGCATGCTTGGATTTGCCCCATCATACCAAGGAATCATCAAAATCTCTTGGGCTGTTTCAACTTCTCTAGCATCTTCACCTGTAATTTGTAGAAAAATTTCTAATGGTACTTCCTCAAAATCATTGTCTGAGTTTCCCCTAACATGTTGTCCATCTCATTATCGATAGTGTTTATAGCTTCTTCTCTTCCAAAATCTTCTTCTGAACCTTCTTTTGCTTCAAAGGTTGTTCTATTACTGATTTCAACAATTGCTTTTTATGTGTGAGCTCTTCCATCCTTGTTTCCATCACCCTGGCATCTTTCTGTTGAATGGCTTCGACCTCTATTGATAAGGGATCGAATGGGTTAAAAGTATCCAGTTCCTTCGAACTAAAAAAGACTAGGGCTTGCACGCATGGATCGTATGTCTTTTTTTCTATAGATCCAAAGACCAGTTTGCCCTTTTCTTTTCTTTCTATCTCATCCTTTATTATTATTAAGACTTTGGGCCTCTTTTTTGATCCATATGTGGATTATTATCTTTGGGCCCATTAACCTTTGTATTTTCCCCCAGCCGAATACCTGACCCAATTTTCCTTGAGCTATGTAAACCTTTGGGACTCCTTTCAGTGAAGGATTATTAAAACCCTTAGGGCCAAATTTTGTACTCAAATTTCTTGTAATTGTGGAAGGCCCACTTTTATTTAAAGGCATCTGGCCTTTTCCTTTCGCTTCCACATCTCCATTCTCCAAACACACTTTAAGATTATTACAAAGGGATTTTTACATACCTATACACTATTAAAAACTTTATTACCCTCCCTACTCAAGTTTCAATTTAATTATCTCCTATATACAAATTTACCAATTATATACACTTTAGGAATTTAATGAGTATCCCTTTATATTAGGAATTAATTATTTCCCATCCTTATTCTCTATCTCCCTCATGCACTCTCTCTCTCTCTCTCTCTCTCTCTCTCTACGTCTCTCTCTATCTCTCAATTCCTATTTCAGTAATGTAGAGCAAAGGAAAAGAGAGCAGCAATTCCACCATTGACAGCCATTAAAAAGCTTTGAAGCTTTGAATTCGAATTTGGGTTTTCAAAAAATATTATTTGTTTGAATTGGGTGTTGTTGCAAACAATTGGAAATTCTCTCTACGTCTCTCTCTATCTCTCAATCCCTAATTCTAGTAATATAAAGCAAAGAAAAGAGAGCAACAATTCCACCATTCACAACAATTAAAAAGCTTTGAAGCTTTGAATCCGAATTTGGATTTTCAAAAACCATTATTTGTTTGGATTGAGTGTTGTTGCAAACAATTAAGAATATTGTTTGGAGTTTATGCCTCAATTTTGAGGGTGTTTTGGGAAAGATTAGACTTGATTTTGGCTGAATTTCAGAAGAAGAAGAAGAAGAAGAAGAAGAAGACATGACATACATGTATACCGCAGAAATTGTAGTAAAGTTGTTGTAAAATTGTAGAAAAATTGTATTATGTTGTTTATATATATTTTTTATTTAAATATTGTACGAAAGTTGAACAATTGTATAAAAATTGTATTGAAGTTGTATGATATTGTAGTTGTATATAACTGGGTAAAAATAATGTATGAAAATTGTAGATAAGTTTTAGATAAGTTGTATAATATATAATTAGTTGTATGAAATTTATTTTTACTATGTATAAATCAGATACAAAATATACAAAAGACATTTTGTATAAAAATTGTATTTACGTGGTATGATATTGTAGTTATATAAGTGGGTAGAAATAAAGTATGAAAGTTGTAGATAAGTTGTATAATATATAATTAGTTGTATGAAATTCGTTTTTACTATGTATAAATCAGATACAAAATATACAAAAGACATTGTATAAAATTTGCACAAAAATTATATTTAAGTGGTATGATATTGTAGTTGTATATAACTGGATAGAAATAATGTATGAAAGTTGTAATTGTATATCAATCGATAGATGCTATGTAATGGCTTAAAGTAATGCGACTTGAAATTAACATATCGACCATGCTGAGATTGAGCTCCACCATCTCAGCTTCATTTAAGCAGATTCGTTACTCTGAAAGGGGTAGGAGCGCCTTCTTATTTGGTTCTAAGTGTGACAAATTATTTTTTTCTAGCATGTCTAGTAGACCTTTTTCATTTTTTGCAGCTTATAGTTCGGAATTGTACTTATAAATCAAATTATAGGTTAATATTTATGTATCTAATATGTATGGCAGCCATTATGTTGCATATTTCCCAACTCCTTATTTCTCAAGCGAAGTCTCTACTTCTGGGCATTGCATTTGCATAACTAGAGCAGTACATATGCAACTTTACTTGGTCTTACTTTTTTGGAAAAACATTCCTCCATGTTGCTTCGTTCGTTCCTTTTCTGCTTCCACAGAGCTTTCTCTTGAAGAAGCTCATCACATGTAGCTTTTAATATCTTTACTTCATCAACCAGATCCTTGATCTCCACTTCAAGCTCCTCTAATCTTTATTTCCCCACTCTGTTTACTCGAGATATGGGGAGAAAGAGAGAATCTAGATAGAAGAGGGGAGAAAGGAGAGAAAAAAGGAAAAGGGTGTAAATAAATCCCTTGATGGAAGGCACAAATAATGGATTGAGAGTCTTTTAAGGTAGAATGCATATATTTTGCAGACAAAACTTGTTTAGGTAGGGTAATTAACTAAACATGGATATTTTTGGTAATGAAGTTTCCAATAGTGTATAGGTATGTAAAAATCCCTATTAAAAACCCTAGACACGCATATTTCACGCGCATCTGACCCTTGCACTTCATTCATCTTGGAACTCAAAAGAGCCGAATACTTCTCATTAATGTAACGACCCGGCCGGTCGTTTTGAGCTCTAATGCGCCGTTCAGCAGTTTGAGGCCATGAGCAGCTCCATTTCAGGTATTACGACTTGTACGCGTGGACGGAATTGAATTTCGGGAAGTTCGGAGTTGATTCGGAAGGAGAATTCTCATTTCGGAAGCTTTAAGTTGAAAGAATCAACTAGGATTGGATTTTTGAGTAAACGACCTCGGAATTGGGATTCGAAGGCTCCAGCAGGTTCGTATGATGATTTCGGACTTGGGCGTATGCCCGGATCGGGTTTTGGATGACCCGGGAGCGTTTTGGCGCCTATTGTGGAAGTTAGCATTTTGGAAGAAATTTCTTAAGTTTGGGTTGAAGTGCATTTCAGTGTTATTGACGTCCGTTTGGGATTCCGAGTCTGGGAGTAGCTCCGTATGGTGATTCTGGAGTTGGGAGCGCGATCGGAAGTGAATTCGAAGGTCCGTGGGTCATTTTGGAGTCATTTGGCTAAAGAAAGAAATTTGAAGGTTTTTGAGAAGTTTGACCGGAAGTGGAATTTTTAATATCAGGGTCGGAATCCGATTCCAAAAGTTGGAGTAGGTCCATAATGTCGAATATGACTTGCGTGTAAAACTTGAAGTCAATCGGATGTGATTTGATAGGTTTAAACATCGAAAGTAGAAGTTTGAAATTCTAAAGTTCATAAAGCTTGGATTGGAGGTCGATTCGTGGTTTTAGCATTGTTTGATATGATTTGAGGCCTCGAGCAAGTCCGTAATGTGTTTTGGGACTAGTTGGTATGATTGGTTGGGGTCCCGGGGGCCTCGGGTGAATTCCGGGTGGTTAACGGATCGAAAATGGAATTTTAGAGATAGGTGAAGTTGCTGGTTGCTGGTATAACCGCACCTGCGAGACTTGGGCCGCAGGTGCGGAGCCGCAGAAGCGGCCTTCGTGCTGCAGAAGCGGAAATGGACGGCTAGGCTGGGACCGTAGATGCGATCATTTTGCCGCAGATGCGGGACTGCACCTACGGAAGGAGAAGCGCAGATGTGGAAGTTGAAGTCCTGGGGGAGACCGCAGAAGCGGCGATTGGTCCGCACCTGCGGAACCGTAGAAGCGGTCAATGGACCGCAGGTGCGAAAGGACTGAGGCAATGGGTGTTTTAAAAATCGAGATTTGGCCATTTTCTCTCATTTTTCTCTTGGCTTGGGCGATTCTTGGAGGGGTTCAAGAGGGGGTTTTCATCATCAACGATAAGGTAAGCTATCCCCACCTATCTTGAGTTAAATACATTGATTATGTACGGATTTGAGCATGAAATTGGTAGAAATTTGGGGTTTTGGTGGGAAGACCTAGAAATTTATATTCTTGGAATTTGACCAAGATTTTGGGTATGAAATTGAGAGTAAATTATATATTTGAGTTCGTGGGGTTATGGGTAAACTTGTTCTTCAAAAAATTTCAGAATCCGGGCACGTGGGCCCGAGGGCGTTTTTGTCAACTTTTCGATCG